TCTTCTGGATACCAGCAACCCTGCAAAGGTCACCAATCAATCTTGATTCAAAATCTCGGCCTTGGTCAGAGTGTAATCTACGTGGTAAGCCATAGTGGACAAACACGTTTTCCCACAACACCTTGGCGACAGTTGTGGCCTTTTGGTTCCTAGTCGGAAAGGCCCAAGCATATTTTGTGAAGCTGTCCGTCACGACCAACACATCTTCATATCCTCCCTTCCCCATTTCAATACTCAGAAAATCGATAGCTAGGAGTTCCATAGGTTCTGACGCCAAGATTGGCACCAGAGGAGCACGTGGAGGGTCAGCAGCTTTCCGCAAGAGGCAACGGTGACAGTCACGAATGTGGACTTCAATGTCCGCTGTCATCCCGGGCCAGTAGAAACGTTGGCAGACCAGGTCAATGGTTTTATCTCTGCCAAGATGTCCGACGTCATCGTGTAACCCACAGAGAATACGCTTTCGCATAGCACGAGGGACCACAAGTTGTTTTAGTTTTGCACCATCTACCAGGCGTTCCCGAAACAAAATTTCATCCTTGAACACAAGGCGGTGTTTTTCTTTCAACAACCGGTTAACCATAGTGTTCCCATCATTCACGTTGCCAGTTCCAGTAGTTTGGCGAGTCAAGATCTCGATTACTCGTCCAATTTCTGGATCCTCACGTTGGATCAATTGCCATTCGAGTGGTGGAATCATGTCAACACCAATTCCTTCACGAGTGGGACTTACATATTGCTTCAATAGCTGATACGTCAATACCCAGCGTCTCTACGGCGGGACAGGTGGTTTCTTCGTTGGCGGGATCGAAGGCAATATGGTAATCACAAAGAGCTTGGAACTCTTGCTGGACATAAGTCACTACTGTGTCCGACTCTGATGCATGTAATCGTTCTAGAAACGGTCGGAGATACTTTAATCTTTAATCTTTAATAAAATTATTTAAACACGGTAGCCTGTTCAGCAGATAATATTTACAGCGCTGGTTTTCAAAGGGCCGTGTGTTTACAACAATAATATAAAAAGGACAAAAAGAATATAACTATTTACAATGAATTGATACGGATGAATTAAGTAATTGCCGCTTAAACGACAAAATTGAAAGATTGTTATAATTTTCAATAGTTTCACTTGGAAGTTCGTTCCAGGACTTAGCAGCTCTATACGAGAAACTTCGTTTGAGAAAATTTGTCTTAGGTTTGGGCAGGTTCAATTTAATTTGATTGCTTCTTAGATTGTAATTGTCATTTTGACTTACTGAAAACAATTTTTCAAGGTATCGAGGTAATCGACCAGTTAGTACTTTAAATGTCATTATTAACTGTCGTTGTTTTAGAAGTTCTTCTATTGGAAGCCAATTAAGACTATCTAGCGTTTGCATGGAACGAACCTCGTATGTGTCCCCTGTTATCACACGCGCTGTTCTCTTCTGCAGTATAAACAATTTATCAATTATCGAACAACATCCATCATTCCAGATTGTTGAACAATAATTGAAATGAGGCCACACTAAGGCATTGTAGATTTTTATCAGACTGTCTCTATTGACAAACAATTTTGCTCTTTTCAGCAGGGCGATATTATTTGAAATTGTTTTACATTGCATTTCATTATGTTTATTCCATTTTAACTGGTCGTCAAGGATCATGCCTAGTGACTTTTTTTGGTAAACTCGCTTAATGTTGTTTCCCCCTAATGTTAGTACTGGGCTATTTTCAATTGAAGCTAAGCGACGTCTTGATCCTATTATCATAAATTCACTTTTTTTCATATTTAATGAGAGCTTGTTAGCTGTCAACCACCTATGAACATTTTCAATGTCTTTATTAAGTTTGATCTCAATTTCATATGGACTAAACCCTTCACAAGAAAGGCTTGTGTCATCAGCAAAAAGATTTGCTTTAGTTGGCTCTAAACAGTTAGGAAGATCATTTATGTACAATAGGAATAAAATAGGCCCAAGGTTAGAGCCCTGAGGTATCCCGCATTTTATTTGTCTAACAGCTGACATCTTGCCATTCACAGAGCATATTTGGCTTCGACCAGAAACGTATGATTCAAACCATTTCAGGCTAGTTCCTTTAATACCATATAATTCAAGCTTTGATAAAAGAATATGATGGTCGACAGTATCAAAAGCTTTTTTAAGGTCTAGAAATAAAACTCCGCTAAGTAAACCTCTGTCCATATTGAACAACCATTCATTTGTAGAACTAAGCAGTGCAGTTTCAGTAGAATGTTGATGACGGAAGCCAGACTGCTGTTCCACAAGAATGCCATTCAACCTCAAGAATGAACTTAGCTGCAGGTATACCAGTTTTTCGAAAAGTTTAGCTACAGCTGAAATAACAGATATTGGCCTATAATTTTCACAGTCTGCCTTATTTCCTTCTTTAAATATGGGGGTCACCTTTGCTAATTTCCAATCATTTCTTCCCCATGTCGAGGGGTATCTCCTTCCCGAGGTATTCTAGAGAGTCCATCAGCATCACCACAACATTTCCCTGCCCGATAGCTTATCGTAAAATCATAGGTTGACAAACTGGCCAACCAACGGTGATCAGTTGCACTGAGCTTTGCCGACGTCAGTAGGTAAGTCAACGGGTTGCTATCCGTGATAACATGAAACTTCCTACCGTACAGATAAGAACGAAACTTCTCTGTGACTGCCCATTTCAGTGCAAGAAACTCTCGACGATAGGCGCAATACCGTTGTTCCGAATGAGTAAGGGAACGGCTCCCATACGCCAGAACACGCTTCTTGCCACTTTGCAATTGGTAAAGAACTGCACCCAGTCCCACGCCTGAAGCATCGGTGTGCAAAACAAACGGTAGAGTGAAATCAGGAAACGCCAGGACAGGGGGTGTTGACAGCTTGGAAATAAGTGATTCGAAAGCATATTGACAAGTTTCAGAATGTCCGAGGCATTTTAGCGTTTGGTTCTTTAATCAGGTCATATAACGGTGCAGCAATCTTGGCAAATCCCTCGACAAAATTGCGATAGTAACCGGCAAAGCCTAGAAAGGTTTGTAGTTCCTTTCGATTTCTCGGTGGATTCTCCAACCATTTGGGTAGTGCTGAAATCTTTTCGGGATCTGGTTCTACGCCATTTTCAGACACGACATGTCCCAGATAGGTAAGCTTGGTTTGGAAAAGCTTACATTTCGATGGTTTCAGCTTCAAGCCGAACTCTCCAAGACGCCTGAGCACAGCTTCTAATCTCTCCAACATTTCTTCGAAGGTTCGGGCAAAGACAATAACATCGTCGAGGTAGACAAGGCAGATCTTAAGGTTAAGACCAGATAAACATCGTTCCATGAGGCGTTGAAACGTTGCCGGTGCGTTGGTTAAAGCGAAAGGCATGCGATTAAATTCATATAGACCAAAGGGTGTTGTCAACGCCGTCTTTGGTTTATCCTTTTCTGCAACCCTAACCTGAAGATAACCACTTTGAAGATCTAAGGAACAAAACCAACGAGCACCCTCCAGGGCTTCCAAGGTATCAGAAATACGAGGGAGAGGATAGGCATCTCTAATCGTCTTAGAATTTATCTTTCTAAAATCAACGCACACTCGGAGACCACCGTCTTTTTTACGAACTAATACAGCTGGTGACGCGTATGGACTCTTTGATTCCCTAATTACTCCGGATGATAGCATCTGCTCGATAGATTCTTTAAATTCTTCGAGTTGCCCTGGTGGTACTCGTCTACATGGTTGCCGTGCTGGGATACTATCACTCAAGTGTATCTCATGCTCAATATCTGGAGCACAACCCAGGTCATTCTGATCCCTCGCAAACACTTATGACACCTTCTTTAACATATCCATTGTTCTTCTCTTCTGCTCGGCATTTAAATTTGTTGCCTCTAAATCAAATAAATTGCTGAAATCATCATTGCAGTTTGTTGTAGCAGTGTCTTCAGTGGCCGTAGGAGTGATTACATCTTTAGCGATCTTCAGTGATGCCAGAACAGCTTTTGCTGGAATGACAACTGTATGGTCAGAGTTGTTAGTTATCTCTACTGGTACTCTGCAAGACGACTTATGCGGACCTACCGTAACAAGTCCTGGGGTAACAACTATTCCAGCTACTTGATCAGATCTCGTACTGGTTTCCACAACAACTTGGGTTAATGATCCTGGACAACTGTTTGCCAACCCAATAAGTATCTTCGTTTCATGTGCAGCTATAGTGGTTGGATGACGACTCGTTGATTTTACCTTTGCGCCAAAGCTATCTTGTCGCTGAAGAAATCGATCCTGTGACTGGACGAATTGGTATACTCGTTTCCAAGCAGATGAAACTTTGGCAGTTTGCAGGAAGTTCTGGCCCGTTATTTGTTGACATGCATTTCTGCATTGTTTCACTAAGTTAGTTCCGATTATAACTGGTACTCTCTGATTATAGCTGTTATTGGGCACAACTAGTGCAAGGGTTGTTAAAGTACCCCGAATACCGACATCGGTTTCAGGAAAACTGACATGTATGGCAGTGGCGTAGCCAGCCCGACAATTTGGTCATGCTATGCAAATATTTCCGTGTTCATAGACCGTGAAAACAATGAATTTCTAAAGAAATGATGATTTGAAATTTGCATAGCATGACCAAATTGTCGGGCTGGCTACGCCACTGATGTATGGTAACATATCCAAGGAATGGAACCTCTTGTCCACCAGCTCCAACAACACGAACTATGTTTGTTATAAACTCAAATATCGGTTTCACTAAATTGTATTGATGTATTTTTAACACGTACTTTACCGACTACATACACGGTATTATTAATTCTAAGTCTAAAAAATAGCGTTTTGTGAGAATATTAATATGAACGTTTTATAATATTAGGAACTCATTAAGAACTCATTAAGAACTCATTCAGTTGGAACTTACTAAGTTATGTAGCTGATTATGCAGCGTATTATTAGTTAGATTATCTAGTATATTGTTATGTTAATAAAGTAAAAAAACCATAAAAATAGAACGCTATTTTTTAGACTTAGAATTAATAATACCGTGTATGTAGTCTGTAAAGTACGTGTTAAAAATACATCAATACAATTTAGTGAAACCGATATTTGAGTTTATAACAATGTTCTCGATAGGTTCAATAGGTTGGTTAAATAAATGTCTGTCGTAAAATGACTTCGCAATTGAAGTAACTTGGCTACCTGTGTCTAGCAATGCAAGACAAGCATGTCCATTGATAAACGCAACTGCCTCTGTGGCATCCCCAATAAGTTCTTTTAAAACATATGCCAATTTTTCGAGATGGGGGGCATTTATATTCGCGTTTAGAACCTCTGGTTGCCCCTTGGCAGAGGTCCTCGTTCGTTTCCCGTCGACCTTTCGTCGCGTAGTGGGGGTTTCTGCAGCCAATTTGTATGTCGCACCGGTAACAGGTCGGTACCTCGGTTGGCCATCCTCTCGATCGTCGGTCGTAATCTCTTTGCTCATTACCCACATTTCTTGCATCAGTTGGTTTTGCCTGATCCTTTAATACAGTTCTCGGACTTCCTTTGCCATGGCAGTGCAAATCTCAGCTATCCACTCTTTTTTATCTCCGTCATTATGTGGCTGGGGTGGAGACTTCTGGCCAGGCTCTTGATAAATGGCTTGATTGGCTCGAGCGAATTTTCGAGACGAATGATTAGAGCCCAGTTCCTTCTCTCCATATCTCGCAGCTGTTATCAATTCTGCAAACGTTTTGCAATTGTCCTTTCTGTGCCGAGCTTTGTCTTTAATCGATTCTTTTATTCCTCCCCAGAATAACATTCGCAGCTATCGTTCGACCGATTCGTCGTCTGGAAGGATTTCTGTGCCCCGTCTTTTCGCCCAACGCAAACAACTATCTAATCTCGACGCGAATGCTGCAACTTCCTCGTTCTCACCTTGCTTCATTTGATATGCTTCGGCCAATAATTCATCTCCGGTAGCCGCGCCGACATCGCTGTAAAACTGATCTAGTTTTCCCAAGATAGATTCACAGGATGTCAGTCAGAACCAAACCCAACAATTTTTGCTTTCGCCTCTCCTTGCAACGAACGTCGTATTTGCTCCAAAATAACTTCGTCTGGATAGAATGCGCCTTTTATTACAGACTCGACTTCAAATCGCCAAACATTATATGCGACTCCTTTATTTTTATCACCGTCACTAAATCCAAAAAATGGGGAGAACTGAGGCTTCGATACTAAATGTACAGACGAAGATGTCTCACCGGTCGCTTTCTCACTCGAAGACGCAATGTTTGTAGAGCTTGTAGACAAACACACTTTTTCATCGATAATATTTACCCCGCACGCATATTTTAAAAACGCTTCGACAGACACAAATTCCGCTTTATAACACGCTATAGCACACTTGTATCGCGTTGAATATTCTTCAGCCAACTGAGCCACCGTAAGACTTTCAAGTGATTCCTTTCCCTTTATAATTGTAAGAATTCTACTCTTTTCAATCTCAATTTTTTCCGCCGCCGTAATTTCCATGTTACAAAAATATAATATTGTTTACGTTGTAGCTCTTTGCAAGTCGAATCGCGTCGGGAGGTGCCAAAATGTAGCAGAGTGCCTCACAAAGTGTTTGGCAACTACACAAAATTAAATGAGTCGTACACAGTTTCGTTTTATGTAATCTGTAATTTACAATAGCGAATTTGCTTCGCTATAAAGAACCCTCGTTTAATTAAAATATCTACAAACGCCGTCTCGTCAAAACAATAACCAATCTAGTGTATCATATGTCACTTCCTAAATATGTCAAAATAAACGCCTATTACTAATTAACTTATCAGTCAATCCGCTACACCTATATTACATTTCTGTTTTTAGAAACAACTCAAGTGCCACAGTTTTCAAAATGGAGTCTCAAAATTTTTTGTACTTCTGCTAATCCTGACCGGCTATCTTCATTTTTGGTATTTATGAAGTGCTATATAATTTCAAATTAACTTACAAAGCATGGTTAATTAAAGTCTATTCTTTGTTAATTCTGACTCCAGTTGCAAGTTATGCTAGTTGTATATACGTACACTCGATCAGCAGGCATGATGAGACATCTCATGTGGTTGTACTTAATATTGACTAGAACTGTGATATGGTACAGCCTATGGCTGCCCAGATACTGTTATTACATGACTAAAGTGATTAGCTTAAAATGTAGATTTGATTACTAATTTCAAACTGCAAGCTAAGGTAGCGAACCATTACAAAAAGCGTGAGGTGGACCATTCTCGTCCCCAGAGCCATTTTCACTCGGTCACTCGTTGAAAAGTAGGCTGTGGGTTAGGCGACTAAAGCGAGAGATCTGATTGGCTTCTCAGAGAAATCCTATTTCGCAGAAGTTGAGCAGTTTTAGCTAGGAAAAATTATTCTATCAACATATGTCAACGCAAATACTTTGTTTCTTCGTAATACTTCACTTTGAAAATTGTTACGGGTGCTAAAGTGTCCCAATTCAAGACCATGCGCTTTAGAAACTACTGCAAGTTTACTTGCACTTCCGGTTCCGTATGTTCCAGGGCCTAGGGAAGACGCGCGCGGCCGAGAGGCCCTGGGGACAAGGATGTAGGTGGATCAAATTCCCTGACTCAAGTTAAGTCTAGCTATTGACTCGACTCGACTGAAAAACAAATTGATTGATGATGCCTTTTGTTACAGTGGCGACAGTGCTTGCTAACTGGACAATCTTTCAATTGGTGTCCCTTTCGAATGCAATTGAAACATCTACCGCTTTGACGTAGAATATCTTTTCGTTCTTGAACATTCTTTATAGTTTCACAAGAAGCAGAATAGTGCTCTCCCTTGCAATACACATATTGTAACTTAAAAGATTCACCACTTCTCGTTGTCAAGGCGCTCGCTGAGCCGTAGTTAGGTCTGTTCGACGGAGAGGGCGGTTTGTTGTTGTCATTAGCTTTAATCCTTTCGCTTGCCTCGCGGACTTCGATTTCTACCTTAATAACTTCTAACAACTCGTCGATTTTCCAGGTTTCGCTATTCGCCTTACGAGCGATCTGAATTCGAATATCGTTGGGAAGTTTCGACATAATGATTGGTATCAATAAACTCCCATATTGATCAGATGACACGCCCAGTGACTGTAAACCACGGACGTGAACGCTAACTTTATCGTAAAATAATCTCAAAGCGTTAGCTCGATCGTTGCAAACTTGTAATTTTAAAAGTTCGTCCATGTGTGCAGATATTATAGCTTGCGGTTTGGAAAATCGATCTTTTAAAATCTTGATAGCGGAATTATAATTCGACTCGGTCAAAGGCAGGCCGTGAATTGCTCGCGCTGCGTTTCCTTCCAATAAGGAATTCAAATAATTGAATTTGTCGATAATTGTAGATATGTCGTCATTTTCGTGAATTGATGCGTTAAAAGAGTCCCAAAAAGTGTTCCATTTTGTAAGTTCTCCTTTGAATCGTGGCATTGTCAATTTCGGTAATCGAATTTTCGCATATCCTTGTCCTCCTTGCGGTTGAGAATTACTCGTTATCGTTTGGGCGTTCGCTTCGACTTCGGTGTTTACATTAATTGCAGGCGATTGCTGTTTTTGTTTCGTTTCTTTAATCCTTCGTTGACAATCGATAATCCGGGCCACAATTTCCTCTGATTCCTGAATTTCATTGTTTATAGTTGTCAATTCACATACATTTAAGATTTCTTGGTCGATTTCGTTCAGGGTTTTCAATTTGTTTTCAAATAGAGTACTTATAACTTCGAATTACAACGAACAACTTATATTGCATGTCAAGTTTAAGGTGTGGTTAGTAGCGCTAGCTATAAAATGTCAACAAATATGTTAATACTTCCGGTTAGTATATTAATATATTAAACATTTATTACAAAGTTTGTAACATAGTATAAGTATATTGTATAATATAATTTATTGCATTTTCCTGTAATTAGTATAGTGAGGGCAACAAGTTTTTCAACCTTCGGCTGTAATGTGTTTTACCCTCGTTAATTAAATAAAGTTGCTACTACTACTAATGATGATAACGACAACAAGGTAAAGGCAAAGGGAAAACGTGGTGTTCAGCCGCCCCCAAATCAGCCGATAACATGGACAACTGCTCACCAGTCCGCTTTAGAGAAGCTCATCGGGTGCCTTACAGACCTACCATTAATGGCATATCCAGAACCTAATAGCCGTTACGTCCTACACACGGACGCTTCTGAAAGTGGGTTGGGTGCGGTACTGTACCAAGAACAAAACCGAAAACTACGTGTCATCCCTTACGGTTCTCGGACATTAACAGCGGCAGAAAAGAACTACCACCTTCACTCCGGCAAACTGGAATTCCTAGCTATGAAATGGGCAATTTGCGAACAGTTTCGGGATTATCTCTACTACGCGCCAAGTTTTGTTGTGTTTACGAATAACAACCCTTTGACCTACGTCTTATCGACCGCCAAACTTGAGTTACTATCGCAACGACTTGATTTTCCGTAGCAGTTCACCCAGGACCAACAAGAACTACCCACAGTACGTCTCTGAATGGCGGAAAGCGATGCAAGAAGCATGCCAAGTCGCGAGACAGAAATCGACACAGAGCGGTATGAAAGCCAAGAAATACTACGATCATTTGGTACGTAGTTCGGTGCTCCAGCCCGGCGATCGAGTGTTGGTGCGAAATTTAAGTGAGCGAGGTGGTCCAGGAAAGCTCAGATCGTTTTGGGAAAACGATATTCACGTCGTTGTTCGAAGAAAGGGACCAGACAGCCCCGTTTATGAAGTTAAAGCAGAAACCAATGGTACGAAGATAAGAGTGTTGCACAGAAACCTGCTGCTTCCTTGCAACTATCTACCTGTTGAAGAACCCTTAACCGACCCAGCATGGACAGTGTCTCGGCGACAGCTACATAAAAGACAAAACCAAAGCCTAACGAATCCAGCCGCAAGCAAATCGAAAAATGTGAACATCCACTGACGACGAGAATAGGCCGGATATGATAATCAGTGTTATCCCCAGAAATTCTAAAACTGCACCTCCGACCGAGCCCGAAGTCTTCCCAACTCCTCCAGAACAACCACGCGAGCAAGAAGTCCTCCCAACCACTCCAGAACAACCACACGAGCCAGAACTCCCTCCAGTGCAAGACGTCCTTCCAATCCCTCCAGAACAACCACATGAGCCAGAAGTCCCTCCAGAGCCAGAGGTCCTCCAAATTCCTCCAGTCCCTCCCGAGCAACCACGGCAAACAAGAGCGAGACAACCACCAGATAGGTTGACGTATTACGGGCCCGGTCAAAGTTTTCCAGCTGGTGTCTTCGAAACCTCGGCAACAAATCCAATTTCAGCAGACCAATGGCAACCTCAGCGGAAAGCCTGGATGACTAATCCACCCCACCTACCCTTCTATCCACCACCCATGTATGGAATGCCTATCGACACCTTTCACCCACACACCTTTCACCCACCAGCCCCCTCTGTATGGACCATGGGCCTTTCCCTATCAAGCCGGAATGAACTTTTTTCCTTATTAAATATTAAACTAAGAAAAAAAATATATATAAAAAGACTCCAGAACTTTATATTACGTTAGAATGAATGAACTGGATCTGAACGCTGTCACAAAAAAAGAGGAGTCCCATTAGTGATACGAGCTGCAGCGTATTATTATGTGAGATAGTATTTTGAAATTAGGATCCAGTTAGAGACTTGTTGAGTATAGTGATAGCAGTATAGGGGACATTCCTCTGAAGTACCGTAACATAGCATGGAATATCCTGTAACAATAGACGTTAGAGTAAGTGTCATGGGATGACACTTGTTTCAAGAGGGGGAATATGTTAGTATGTTAGGATTTAAAAGAGCAATTAGCTTTTACCGGACATTGAATGACGTTTACGCGTTGATTGATAAATAACATGTATGTAACGCACATGTGTAGCGCAATAAGAAAAGGGTTTACAGTCAGCGAGGATTACTTTAGGATATATAAACGAAGTCAGATATATGTGTACACTAGGTGTTTTATACACTATTAAATAAAGACATTTGGAGTTTATTCCTGTGTTATTGGCATCAAATAACCTAACAACGGTAACATAACAATGATGTTGAAAACAGGCCTGAACAATATTTTGCTGCCCATATTGTTCCTGGTTGTTAACAATATTGTTCAGCATTGTCCAGGAACAACATGGGCAGCAAAATATTGTTCAGGCCTGTTTTCATCAACATTGTTACAGGCTACTGAGGCTAGGCGCTTTTTCCTGTGTATATGGCGGCTACGAACTAGCGGCATGATGAAAATCATGAAATAGTTGGTGCACTGAACATTATTGAGGATATAATATCGCGTTAGATAGCCTTGGTGACCCATATTATGTAAAGGGAATGGCAATACGATTCGACGTTTAAAGAGATATCTTGTAAATATTAGAATCGACAACATTTTCATGATTTTCATCATACCGCTCGTTCGTAGAATCCTGCTCGCAGCCCGAACTTCAAATTTATGGGGTCTATTGAGGAGGCTAGTTCGTAGGAATCAAGTCCCAGGAATCATAGGAATCAAGTGCGGGGGGGGGGGGGTAGTTTAACGAAGCGTTAATTAATAACATTTAACTCAGTGCTATGTAGTGATGCGTTTTCAAAAGTACTTCAATGTTCATACTTCAATGTTGTATTTTGTTATACTAGTTGTTATACTTAAATTTGATATGTTCAATATTCAAATTAACATCAATGAGGGAACAAGGACAAGGTTTCACTGAAAGTTAGTGAAGTAAGCAGTATGATGGGTGTAAGCAAAACAACTTTGGAGCGGCGAATGAAATCATTACGGCCGACACAGCGGCTATGAAACACTGTATATGTTAAGCCCAAGTCGACAAACCTAGGGAAACGGACACAACCCAAGACAAAATAAAATATGAAACCACAACTTCCTTGTGTGGGGGTTGGTGTTAGTGAAAAAATCTAGACACATACCTCTGAATTGGTGAAAAATCAGGTTATTTGCCGACCTTAAACGAAAACAGGACATCCATGCAGTGTAAACTTGTGCTGGAAATACAGAGTTATTGCCGCTGCTCAAATACACCCTTTCGATAATTACGTCACACATACTTTTTGGTCTTGGAGCCTCGCTCTCATTTGTAAATTACGCAAGGCGATTGGCTTACGATTCATGACAGCGAGGCTCCCAGGCCAAATGATGTAATTATCGAAACGACGAAAGGGTATATTGGTTTAAATTTTGGCAAACCCTGTCCAGCAATGCCAAAGTGCATGATGTCGTCGATTCTAATATTTACAAGATATCTCTTTAAAACGTCGAATCGTATTTCCATTCCCTCTACACAATCTGGGTCACCAAGGCTGTCTAACGCGATATTATATCCTCAATAATATTCACCAACTATTATAAATGTTCATTCTTCGTAGAATCCTGCTCGCAGCCCGAACTTCAAATTTATGGGGTCTACTGATCAGGCTTAGTTCGTAGGAATCAGGTCCCGGGCGAGTGCCAGGGGGGGGGGGTAAGTTTTAAACGAAGCGTTAATAGACCTTATGCATAATGACGTCACAAGGCTTGATGCCCGCGAGGAATGCTGGTCTTAGTAGTCATCGCCCGGGAAAATTTCGATAGTGGCCATTTTGAATTGTTTAATTTTCCCGGGCGATGACTACTAAGACCAGCATTCCTCGTGGGCATCAAGCCTTGTGACGTCATTATGCATAATGTCTATTTTTGTCGACAAGTGGTTTCGCATTACATTACGATTCAATTTTTCAAATGTAAATATCGCGGCGAGTATTTACCCTCCTTTAAAACAAAACCCACCATTGTAATCCTCACAAAATAACCTTTCGAACGGGGGGTCAAGTGCTGTCGAACATTATACAAACCGAAACAATCATATATTTATACTCACCGCTTCGCCAAACATTCAAACGATAAAAAGAGAAAAAGTTGAATATCTTCTAAACTTTTCGTCATTTTCTGAAAGGCTATATGTGTAAAATACTCTTTGTATTCAAGCGCTTTAGTGTAGAAAGTTTCGTATGAATACGACGAGTAGAAATATTTATTTTGAATTTTTCAAGGTATCGGGTTTTACTTGCACACGCGTGTATTGCGCAATACTTGGCCAATAAGGAGCTGCTTTAGCCTGGATGACGTCAAACTCACGCGTATAGGTGCACTTTGACCTGTAGAACCATTTCTGGCATTTCCAGGGGTCTCTGTAAAGAACAGAAACCGAAACGACCGAAGCCGGAAACGACCGAAGCCGGAAACGACCGAAACGGGAAATTCCCGCCTAATTTCCCGCATAAAATTGCCTAAAATTGAAAGCGCGCTCAATTCACTGAGCTGGCTCAATTGCTCAATTAATATCAACATGAATATTGATTATTGGCGGAAATCTGACGCCATAGAAAACCTGACCTTAACATCATACATGTCAATATTTGTTCAGGGCAAGGCGAAACAGAAAGTTTACTTTTCTGTTTGAAACTTGATATCCAGTCAAATGCTGGGTTTCGAAACATGTTTTAGCCATTTAAATAGATCACTATGTCTATGAATTAGCAGTTTGAATGACTTAAATATTTAATTAAACTATTTAGTTATATATTATATAAATATAGCGCAAAATTCAGTGCGTAATTAGTTTCATGCACCAAAGACAAATCGAAGGTTTCACCTTTCTAGAAGAGACACGTTTCATTTAGCTGTGCCGTGGTGCAAGTGTAAAGTTTCTTGACTTTTCGCATGCTTTGAAAAGATCTAAACTGAATGAGAGTTTTGAGATGCAATAGAACGACAAATTACTTTTCATACTAGACAAGAAAAGCGAAATTTATAGTAGCAGTGGTCCTGGCCAGGAAGAAAAATCATGACTTGTATTTTCCCGATAGTCCTTAATGCCGCGTTTATAACTACGACTACAGATATAGTTGGACATCATGCACGTATGGTCTGTTAATACAAACGTACGTTTGTTCTTATTTCCCAGTATAGTTGCGTTCATGCACATGCACATATATGTCTGCAAATTAATACACTGAAACGGGCTATATAGCCTATATAGGTACAGTACTCTTTTTCGTCACAAGCCATTCGCATCATATTACGACCCAATCGTTCTAGTATAAATATCTCGGCGAGTATTGACCCCCCTTTTAAATAAAACCCACCATTGAAATCCTCACAAAATAGGCATGTTGTAAAAGACGGACTGGACTGGACTGGACCGGACTGGACTGGACTGGGAAAACGCGGACTGAGTCCGTGTTTTACAAATCGCGGACTGAATTTGTAAAACACGGACTGGACTGGACCGGGAAAACACGGACTGAGTCCGTGTTTTACAAATCGCGAACTAAGATTTGTAAAACGCGGACTGAGTCCGTGTTTTACAAATCGCGGGTTGCAATTTGTAAAAGGCGGACTCATTTCCTGACAAACATCGAAGTGACTCAGTCGTAAAGATTTTGGCGGGAATTTGCACTCAGTCGTGAGAGTTTTG